TGTGTGTGAGAGAGAGAGAGAGAGAGAGAGAGAGAGAGAGAGAGAGAGAGAGAGAGAGAGAGAGAGATTGCAAAGGCATACCTTGAAAGAAGGGAGGTCTCTGTAATTGAGTCTGTACCGAACTGTAAGGAGGTCCAGAACTTGTGCAAAGTAAGTTCAACGAGAGGAGAGGGGAGGGATATTTTTCTTTTATTATTACGGTAATTTATTTACAGGAAGACAGCAACTGGTTGATGGGGAAATGGCAGTTCTGGGGCTGTTGCCCAGCGTTTTCCCCCGAATAAAGCGCACGGACTTGATCTCTATATCTACATTGAACGTTGACCGAGAATGACAGCAGTAATGACCCCCGCTCTCTCTCTCTCTCTCTCTCTCTCTCTCTCTCTCTCTCTCTCTCTCTCTCTCACACACACACACACACACACACACACACACACACGCACACAGAGCTTACAATTTGCTGGATCGAACTCCTGCTTTCTTGTTTTACGCTGCTTTGCCATGTTTTGCTTTGCTTTGCTTTGGTTTCTGCACCTCTGCATAGAACACGTCCGGATTCATGCGGTTGCTTTGGTTGGTTGGTGTTTATATGCAACAGGTCTTATGGGGTGGTGCTTACCATGTGTTTTATTCGGTCAGGTAAGTTTTTTTTTTTTTCCCATCCCTACGTAAACTAGTATAGGCGATAATACACCTTTTGTTTTTCATTTTTATTATATATATAGATATATATATATATATATATATATATATATATATATATATATATATATTTGCAATAAATCTGACCACCACCGCATTCTTCTTCGGGTGCTCGGAGTCCGAAACTTTTTTTTTTTTTTTTTTTTTTTAAAACATCGTTCAAGCTAGGTCTTCTGCCACTAGGGTGGTAAGAGACCCTGGTGGTAGAAGCCTGCAGACACACGACGGCTCCGATCTATTTGTGGGGAGCTACACCTGCTGGAAACCGGGTCCAGCGTCCCTTATTATAGATGAGGCCGGGGTCCTCACAGTCTACCCGGGAGAWCACAGGGAACRAAGTCCCAGTTGAGAAAAAACTCGTTCATCCAAAAGAATTAATCACCTGCTGGGTTGGAGCTCCAGCACACCTTCCAAGAGGATATCTCATACCCTCAAGGAGGCATTAAATAAATAAGTCACGGGTTAAGGGTGTGGTTAAATATAACTCCACCCAATTATTGTAGGAGTTAAATGTTTATAGCTGTATGAAAAGTGGAGAGACTACTTGTGTATATTAGTGACTCAGTAAGGGGAAGGAGATTAGGAGGGTAATATTATAGGGGAAGAGAGAGGAAAAGGAATGAATATGTACAACATATATACAGTATGTACAGGTTTTATTATATGCACTCAGAAGAATTGATCGGGCTCAATCGGGCTCAATAGCCCATGAGCGTCTGGATTCCAGGATTCTGGAAAACAGGCTCGGCGGTAAGTTTTTTTTTTTTTGGCTGGCAGGAGAACGGGCTCGGCGGTAAGTTTTTTTTTTTTTTTTTTTTTTTTTTTTTTTTTTTTTTTTTTTGGCAATAAGAGCATATCCGCTACTCTAACGATTAGTACAACTCTATGTTCCAGTCAAGGTAATGACAACAATAAATTTAATTTTACAATTGCAGATTTGAAAATGATTTAATTAGTATAATAACTATAATGTTCCAATCAGGCTAGTGAGGGCAATAATATAATTTTACAATTGAAAATATTCAAATATTTTTAAATAAATAGTTAGTAATTACAGAAAAAAGCGCAGTTCTGCTGGGAAATCCACTCCTATGCTTGGAGTGTGGGTGGCGGCGAAAAGAACGAGCCCCTGCTGTTCTTTCCCGCCGCTGGCTTCCAGCGGGCTGTTCGTACGTTCGCTGTGATCTTTTTTTTTTTTTTTTTTCTAAAGCAAAGAGGCATTATTATTCGCTGTGAT